TGGAGTCTACAAACCCGCGTCTTCCCCTTCGGGTTCGGGTTGTGAGGGGCGATGGCCCCGGGGCGGGTTGCCCAGCGAGTTCACGATGCCCGAGGGAGGCGCGGAGCTGCCGCCTCAGAATCACAGAATGGTTTGGGTTGGAAAGGACCTTAAACCCCATCTCGTTCCACCCCTGCCACAGGCAGGGACACCTTCCACTAGACCAGGTTGATCAGAGCCTCGTTCAACCTGGTCTTGAGCACTTCCAGAGATGGGGCATCCACAGCTTCTCTGGGCAATTCGTGCCAGTGTCTCACCACCCTCACAGTATAGAATTTCTTCCTAATATCTAATCTAAACCCACCTTTCAGTTTAAAGCCAAGCTAGGGAGATGGTACATAGGGCCCTGTACCCTATGGTAGCAGACAGTAGAGGATGCTTGGGGAAGAGTGTCTAGATCCCTCCCCATTACCTTATCAGATTTTCAGCTTATGTTCTAAATAGTGAACACAGATGATGACTGGAAGAAAAATTAATCACTATTAGTTTTTCACAGGCAATGACAAGATGAGGAATGAATGGATGGACAATTGCACCCAGGCGTCCAAACCAATAACTGAAACCATTTCTCTTAGTCCTTTCCCAAGAAGCATTAAAATATGTGTCAGAGAATATCTGACATTCGTGTAAAAATGTCTTTTCTTGTGCATGAAGTCACTGGTACAGTTAGACTTGTACTAAATTTCGGATTGAAACCTGTATTCTGACTTGGAGCCATAGCATTTCCTAACGACATAGAATCTATTACAGAGTCAGTTCCTAACGTGGGCGCTCCTTGGTGCTCCTCACCTCCACTTTGTGTTTTTCAGCAATGATGGAGGAGTTGAAGCTGACGCATCCCCAGAGGCGATACTTGATGGACTGTGTGAAACGTGAGTGAGGCCCCCTGGCTCCCACACCTGCTGCTGTGCTGTGCTGTGCTGTGCTTAAGAGCTTTTGCCACTCACCTTGAGGCAGGGGAATTTGCCCACAGCCTGCTTGGATGAGCAAGTGCTTTAAAACAGCAGCTGCTGACACGTGGGATTGTACAGGGTGAGGTGTCCCCAAGGGTCATCCAGGAAACAAGGCGCAACGGGGTGACTTGCACCACAATCTGTCTCATGTCAACACACCAATGACCAGAGAGAGACATCTGTGGCACAGTGGGGTCTTCACTTGTGGTTGTACAGTGGATCAGCATTCAGATCTTCTGCTGGCAATAGCCCAGATCCATCCATCCATCCATCCATCCATCCATCCATCCATCCATCCATCCAGGCTTCTCTCTGCCTAATTTTCTGTTATTTTTGGTTTGTTCCCAGGAGGAGGTTCACTGCCCCTCCAGTGCCGCCCCACATCCAGCAAACAGCCAGTGCCTGCAGCACCTGCTGCCTCCCCACCAGCCTGTAAGCTTTCAGCCAGACCTCATCTCCGACCTGCCAAGGTCTGCCAGGCAGGAGATGCCTACACCCGGGAGAAATTCAAGCCACAGGCCACACGTAAGTCGGCAAACATCGCTAATGAACACGTGGTGACACTCTCTTCCCCTTCTATCCATCCCCTGTCTGCAGTCTTGGTAGGGACAGGGTGTGTCTGAATTAAGCTCTGTGTCCTCATGCTTTCAGTCTTCAAAGATGCTTTAGAAATGGATCTCTGAGGGAGCATCTACTGGAAGTGCTCGCTGACTTCTGCCCATGGGCTTTGGGAGGTGACAGGCACCTGCACAGTCCTTGCATAAGAAGGGAGAACTATGTGAACCAATCCCCTGATGCTGGTTTGGTTGGCTTTGTGTGTCTGTGTGGTGTTTGTGCAGTTCAGGGCTGGACTGTCATTAATGTAACACTTCCTCTGGCACTGTTAGCAGGGAAGTGGTGTGGTCAGGCTCCTCCCTGAGGAGACAGGCTGATAATGCATTTTTCTCCCCATTGGCATTCACAGGAGATTTGGAAAAGGAGAAGCAAAGACTTCAAAACCTCTTAGCGACAGGGAAGGATGTGGTGGAGGATGAGGTGAAGCAGGTGCGGGTTCAAACAAAGGAAAAGGAGATACCAGAGCCTGACCGGTTTGAAGAATGTACGTCCTTACAGAAAACCTGGAAAGCCTGGGAAGCTATTTCCCTCCACGGGCTGCGGTGGCTGGCTGTGTTGCCAGTAACCTGAAGCTCGTTGTGGAAGGAGGCACAAAGCCCAGTTTCCAAGAGAAAAGACGTGCTGCTGCGGTGCTCTGCTCCAGCCATCCTCCCAGAGGATGCTGCTGAGGTTTGCTGGCAGATTCAAGCTCCCTGGGCTGCTCACATGAAATGAACTCTGCCGGCAGCGGAATACCCTAGGGATGTGCAGAGTGACCTGGGCAGCAAGCCCAGGTACTGTGTGTCCTTTTCCCAGCAAGCATAACTCAACATAGACTGGGTCACTTGCCAGCCTGACCACAGTTTGGGCTGTTTCACTCCAGGATCAGAGCAGTTACACTAGCAAAGCTTAAATGTTGAGCAAAGTTTTAAGCAGTTAAAGACTTTGGCCTGTAGAGTATTCTAGGATAGCAGAACCCTGCCCGATACGTACCTTTCTGTGCTTGACTTTTGAATGTGTGTGTACACCCCAGCCAACCCTTCACTAGCCAGGGCAGCACAAAGATGGGCAACACTAGAATTACATGCATAGAAGGGGTGCCTTGGTCCCTGCTGCAGGGAGCCAGTGCAGATGGCTTCATACGTGCTTGATATCCTCCAAAACTTGTCACAAGCTGAGTGTTGTCTTGGACACACGGGTGGCAGCTGGCTGCAGGTCTGTGCTGCAAAGCACCAGCTAATGTTCTGTGCCTGGTCCTGGGAGCAGAGATGGTTGTGGTCACTGGGTGGTGCATGTCAACTAATGAACCTCAACAGCAGATTCTGTCTCCATCCACAAACTGGTTAAATCACCCACAAGCAACAGAGAATTGTCTGTACAAAGAAAACTAGAAAGCTACTGTTCCTGGAAATGGGAGTGGCAAGAAGTAGGGCAGGGTGGAAAATTCCCATTGTGTAAGGGACTACTGAGGTATTGCAATGACACGTGCAAGATGAGTGTTACAGCAGGCATCACCCTACTGGCACTGATGTTCAAGCAGAGCTAGGGAATTGGGGGTTCAGATCTAGACAGAAGCATGTTTTCTTGCCTTTTGGCTGCACCTTGTTTCCACAGTTCTTTCTTTTATCCATCAGTGGTGTCTGAAGTTCAGGAGAGGAGGGAATTCCTGGCAGAGATGGAAGCTCTAGGACAGGATAAGAAGTACCGAGCAATTGTCCTTGCTGAAATCTCACAGGTATGCAAGGGCCCTGGTTGTACAGTACATGGAGGGAATCCCTTGTGTCAGACACCATAAAGCAGAGTCTCCTCTGACACCTGAGCAGGGAAGGGGGCAGAGAGCCGTTTCCCTTCATGGCACAGCTCAGACTTGAATTTGGGGAATGGCAGATAGAGGTTTTTAGCCTTTCTTTCACCTCTGCATGTAACTCAGTCAGGGAAATAGAACTTTTGTTCTTGAGACTGGCAAAAGAAGAAAAAAAAGGTGCTGGCTTTCTCCCTGCTCAGCCGTTCCCCTTTGTACTTTGCAGAAAATGCGCGAGATGGAGATCATTGACAAGAAGAGAAGTGAGGAAATGAGAAAGATCATGACAAAAGACTTCCCTGGTGGGAACAAATCTGATCTCAATGACTAGGCCAAGGGCAAAACACAAGTGCAATTTGTTCCCACCTCTTCTTCCCAGGCTCTCAGCACTGGAGTCTCAAGGACTGGTCTGCCTCTTCCCAAAGAGTGGGCAGCACCATCTGTTGCCTCACACTAAAGGCAGGACCAATTTGTACATAAATGGTGATAAAAGTTGTTGTAAAATCCTACCCACACACTGGATCCCTTCTTGCTCAACAATATTAAAGACATGAAAACACGTAGCAACAGCTTCCAAAACATGACAAAACAGCGTCTCCTTTTGCCTGCGCAGTGCCTCAGAGTACAGCAATCCACCTATAGAAACATCACTCCTTCCCATCTACCCAGAGGTGGAGGTTTCTTGTGACAGCATGATGCTAACACTCGTGCTGCCACCCACGTCTACAACCTGTTCCTGTCCCCACAGCTCTGGGAACGGCTCTGCTGGCAGAGAGAGCTGGAGGAGAATGCAGCTGCATGGCCTTGCGCAAGCACGAGCCCGTGGTGTTGCTGCAGGTCAGTGTGACACTGTGCATTAGCAAACCTCTCCGTGGCAGCAGAACTGGGCAGGCACTCAGGAACACAGCTGTGCCGAAGAGGAAGAGCAAATTACAGCCCAGTGCCTGCTGCTCTTTGGTGTGGGGCTTGCTCTGAGCTTTTGGTTCTCTAAGCTTTTGATTCCTGGAAGCATGGTATGTAGATTAGCTATCAGCTTCACAGAAAGCCTGGAAATGACTCACCTCATACATACCCCATCCCTGCCCTCTAGCAGGCTGTAGCAAGATGCCCCACTTTTCCTGTGCAAATCCCAGCATAAACACCACTTTCTGATTGCCTTAACATCCCATCCTCTGCCACTCCCCAAAGCTAGGCAGCATGCCCTGTCCCCGGGACAGCACCTAAGCCAGGATAGTTTTTTAAATCCAATGTTTCTTTTATTTTTGTTCAGGTGAATGGAAGTCACAGAGTTAGTACAGTATGATTTACAAATCAAACTTCTGACCGGGCGCAGGGCCAAGGGGTGTCAGGCTGCAGCGATCCCAATGGCCTTTGGCAACAGTGACATGACAGCAGGCTCAAAGGGGATTTGTTTCTCCTTGGAGGAGAGTTGTGCTTTGGGATCTCCCCTCCCCTACCACTGCTCC